CCCCACACACACACACAAACAACAACAACAACAACACATCTGTGAAGGTCTTTGAATGGCATTGTCTTTAATGAGAAGCTGCGCTGCATGCAAAGACACAAATTAGCTGCTTTATTTATTTCACTATAAAACTAACTAAAACACAATCACAAGAGGAAGGAGCTACATAAATCTAGTTGGATCGTATGTTTCCTAACACTTCTTTTTCTACCAGCAGCATTCAGTCACTCTTGTTGCTCCCAGCAGCCCCAAACCACATCACTCTGTGTGGTCCTCTAATTGCATATCAGATGGAGCCAGTCTCCATGATGAAAGCTTGACTTTGCTCTTTGTGCTTTGGTGTCAGTTCTAATATGTAAAGCAGATGTGTTTTTAATAGCCCGGTCTATCAGCGGTTGTGTAGCGCTGCCTAGTTGAATGGCTGTAGAGGCTGGATTCCCACTGTGGCCACCCGCACTTAGAGGGTGTATTCCTGAGAGAGGACTCAGTATTTTAAAACTTCAGGAACCGAGTCACCTGCCTGAAAGCGATGGAATCACAGCGATCTAAAAACTGGCCTCTTGATTAATTGATTCAAAACATACTAAGAAGTGGACTTATGGATTGACCTTTGTTTCTGAGGCACCGCCGGCCTGCAGAGTGGTAAATGTTGCTGAAAGCCCCTTCATGCTGGGGCTTATGTTGTGTTTGTAGGGGAACAGTAATCAGCAGCAGCAGAGGGTTGGCTGGGATTCCAGCAGCCTCAGCTTCCAGCTAAAACCTCCTCTATCTGATCAGATCACAGCCTTGTTTCAGCAACCAGCCTGGATTATACTCGTCACATCAGCCGGGGCCCAACTGATTACCAACACTTTCCCACAATGATTACACGCAGCTTACTGCTAGACATTATGAAACATTCAGCTATTGTTTTGTTTTGGATTTCTTTTTCTAACCAACCAAGACCAAAGGAGCTAACCTGATAAAGGCTGCTTTCAACTCAAAAATGTGTTTTCACCAAACCCACAAACTTGAAGCTCTTTGCAGCAGGATACCGAAACATACTTAGAAATTCTTCTTTTTTTCATGTTACCCACCAGCTGTAAACAGTACTAGATGTGTATCCAATTGGAGGTTTAGCTAGCCAGTAGTAAGGTTTGACTCCAACAGGTAAAAATTTTTGCTACTATGACAGCAAAATGCAACTCAGATTCCCTAAAATGGACTCATTTATTGGTTTTTAAGGTCAGCTGTAGAGCCTGTGGGACTATTTTTCTAGTCCCACTGAATTTGTGACCATTAGCTCCGACTCCCGCTGTCTGTCTCCACCAATCCTACTCGCTCCTGCAATATCCACATCCAAACCCGCCCACTCTCACCTCTCTATTCAAATAATTGTATACACACTTTTCAATTAGTCTGGCTGACCATGGCACACATTTGTTGTTCCTTACATTAATTTAGTTACATACCTCAGCTGCACTCTCAATTTACTGGTACATTTGGGACCTGCCATAATTTCCTAGCCACTCACTCTCACCCGATGCAACCTCACAACTGCCCGTTCCCACAATACCAAAGATGTGTTGTAGATGTATGTCCAGTCATTACTTTGTGGGAGTTTAATTACAATCCACCCAATGATTCATCTAAAATGTTGATTTAACGGCAACATTAGAAACCAAAGTCTTGCCCAATTAGTCCCTGGAGTTAATGGTGGGGATTACATTCAGCTACAGGCATCAACTGTAGCTGAATGTTCTGTTTAGTGGGTTTTTTTTTTGTTTGTTTTTGTTTTTTTTTGTTTGTTTTTTTTGCTAATGTTGGTTAGCTGGTCTTCCTGAGTCTGGTTTACCTAAAAAGTTAATCAGTTGCAGATTTACGCCTGAGGATTTCCCACTAAGATTTTCATTAAAATACATTGAAGGGTTAATAACACAATTTATGAACATTAGGTCTCATGCCAAGGTCAAATACATCATATAAGTACATTTTAGAAACAATGAACCATCATTGGGTAATTACCTTCAGTAACTATTAAAGACAATTGACTTGAGTTCAAAGATTTGAGACTGTAGATGAGACGGTAAAATATGTCTCACATATATATTCATTTCAAAGTTTAATCATCACTTTTCAAAATTACAAGATTGGCTTTTAAGGTTTTTTATTCGGCTCCACATTCTTTCTAATCTTAGAATAAAATAGATTCGTAAAAAAAAGAAAAAACAAAGCTCACTAATTGGCCAGAACAGCATTTGGCTTCACACAAATCTGCTTATGTGTTGCAGCAACGATGGAGGTAACAGGTTAAGAAACATCCCAGCTATTCGCCCGTGCTTTAAAGCATGTAGTGAAGTTGTTGGCTTCAGTTTGTTCGAGCTATTCATGTTACATAACCACCCCCACCCCCTGAGTGAGATCTCCCATTCCCTCCTACCCACTTTTTCATTTTGTACAAAAGATTTCACACATGCATGCTATCGGTGTGGCATGGCAGCAGTCCAGAGAGGGGCTCCAGGGGCTCTTTGCTTGCCTTCCTTCTGATGGCTGCTTCCAAACTGCAGTGGAGCCGAAATGCCAGCTTTGATATGATTTAGTGACCGATTCTCAGCTCTAGAAAAACACTGAGGTGCTGCCAGTAAACAGTAAGATGTGGAGCCGGTTAGCATGCAGGAGAACTGGTTAAACTACTTGTTTCCCGGCTCTTTGATGACTTCTGGCACCGATGAGGAATCATAGGACAAATATAGTCGGCACACGCAAAAAAACAAACCTGATGGACTTTAATGAAACTCAATAGATGCATGAGTACAGCTGATTATTTTTTGGGTCACCGCCATCCAAGATGGGTACTGCAATTAGTAAACTTTAGTAATCACAAACACAGCTACAACTCAGTCAAGTATACAGAAATTGAGCTTAAATATCAAAGATTTGTTACATTTCCAACATTGAGTGTAAACTGACTGAAATATTGAAATAAGATTTAAAACTTAGGAATGATGGTTGGTTTGCTAGGATGCTCTTAGTTAACAGCTTTATTGGCTAATTTTCTGCAGCTTTATAAATGTAAACATTTAATTTTCACACTTTGGTAACATTTAACAATAAGAGTCCCTCTATTAACGTTACTTAGTGCATAATTAATCAATGATGAACAAAGGGCCCCTCTAGTAACATTAATTAATGTATATTAAGTATTAATAAATGAAGGATCCCTTTATAAAGGTTACTTAGTGCATTACTAAGCATTAATGAACAAATGGTCACTTTATTACATTATTTATTGCATTATTAATCAATAATAAACAAAGGGTCCCTCTAGTAACATTAATTAATGTATATTAAGTATTAATAAATGAAGGATCCCTTTATAAAGGTTACTTAGTGCATTACTAAGCATTAATAAACAAAGGGTCCCTTTATTAATTTTCCCGGTATCATTAACTATTAAGTGTCCTTAAGGTTATGATTTTTTTTTTTTTGGGGGGGGGGGGGGGTCTTCTGCATAATATGGTTAAGCAGTTGTTAATTGTTTATTAATGCTTAATAATGCACTGACGTTAAGGGACCCTTATTGTAAGATGTTACTCATGCTTCTTTCTAAAGACGTCAAACTTTCTATTTCCTTTACAGAATAGTTAATACATAGTTTATACGTTATTAATGAATCTGTAACACATCTGCTCCATCCACACTCAAACATGAAGTCATCTGAGGACAGATTCATTCTGAGCTGATGTCTAATGAATAACAGCGGTGAGCTCAAATTGAGGCTTTCTCTTAGGACTGTAAACATCAACCCCTTCACATTCCACACAACTCAACTCTACGTTCTATTTATATTCCTGACCTTCTTCACTAGAAGCAAAACATCACAGCAGCCTGTAAAGGGAGCTAATGCAAGTTTCTGGAGGTGTTAGTAGTCTATAATCTGCTGAAAGTGTGAAGTGTTAGAAAGCCTTTGGTTACTCTGTTCAACAATGTTATCTGTTGAACTGAATGTGGTCTTTATTTTGGTTTAGGATTAAAATGAGCTTGGTCAGCCATGTAAAATGCAGCAGTCTGCTGGAGATGATATTTAATGTCTAATAAAATATCTACAAAGACTTCCACACCCAAACATCTGCTGTTGTTCCTATCTTATATACATCATTTAAACAATTTTTTTTGTTTTTAACGTTAATAAAAACAAACATTAGAATTATAGAAACTGAAATGGTTGCAGTTTGATTTTGTTGCTAAGAATGTCCATGTTGTCCTTAAATGTCAAAATATACTTTATCAAAAAGGATTTTGGCTTAAGGCGTTTTTTTTTTATTATTTTTATTTTTTGCTTTGTGGATCGTTTTGTTGTGAAGCAGAGGAATGCAGCGTGGACTTGTCTGTGTGTGTGTGCACTCACAGCTATGTGTGTGTAACATTCCTGACAGTGGTAGAGGTATGTGAATTACGTTTTGCAGTGAGAGAATGTGAAGAATCTGCTGCCATGAGAGGGCCGTTTTTGTTGACTCACACGCTATTGCAAAGGAGGTTTCTGTGTGTGTGTGTGTGTGTGTGTGTGTGTGTGTGTGTGTGTGTGTGTGTGTGTGTGTGTGTGTGTGTGTGTGTGTGTGTTAGACTCCCTGGTAAGAAACCAGTTGGTAGTGATTGATTGTAATGTCACACGTGTGGTGCACATTATATGCTGTTAATATTCTCTTTTAAGTTTTACAAAAAAAATTTACGCAAATTGTTTTAACCAAAGAACATTTCAGATTCAGATTATTTTTAACTTGAAATTTTTTACCTCAGATGCTTTAGATTTCCTAAAATGATCATTTCTGTATTTGATTTGACTAAAAACTTTGTCAAAAACTGTTGCCTGATCTAAATGGAAACCTGCATTTCACTGACAAAGCAACTAAAAGTACCCAAAATAATTCCCTGAGGAACCTCACAATTCAGAAATCTAACTACAGTAAACTTGCTCTCAACATTTTATTAATATTTTCTTCTTGTCTTTTATCTCTGCTCAGATCTGGGACATGAGTGATGATGAGAGCATCTGAAGACCTAAAGCAGTCAAGTGCAACAGGAATAAAGGACTTCACGCTACAGTCTGTGGTTTCATTTTCTTCCTACTTTACTTTATAAAAATCAGCGCCATTACTTAGACACCAGGTCCTGATACTAGAAAAACATGATGCACTAGCATGTTAACTGCTAACACTGTGTGTAAAACTGTTAAGTTCACCTCACCTGTTGGAACTAAACTCAAGATTCCTTAGAAACAAACAGCCCAAACAAAATGTGCTTTTTTTCTGTAAAGTTAAATTCTAGGTTTTGCTTTCTTCTTCAACCAGACTTTAACATCCGTTTCTTTATTCAGGCTGGAAAAGAGTTTCAGGTAAATTATAAAAACAGAAAAATGTGGCTGCCCGCTCAACAGATCCATCCATCTTGTCTGTTTACTGGAGACTGACATACACAGAGCAGCTGATACTTAAACCAGTGCTGCGATCATTCCTGTGAGGGAACCTGCAGACAGATGTTACTGTACAGTTTAATAACACGGTTACAGCAGACATCTTGGATCGAAATATGTGATTTTTAGGCAGCTCCCATCCCTAACAGATGGGTGTTTTTTATCAATGCATGTAGATGTTCATTTATGAATCCACTTTGCAAAGTCCTGTCTGTTCTGCAAACCTGTATGTTTCTGCATCATAACTTGTAAAAATGAGTTTTACAAGCGGTTAACCTTGAATAAAATATGCTTACACTCAAATTCCACAGATTGGGTTGTTTTTATTTAGTTGCCAGAACGTAATATCCTCTTGGAGCTGTTGTTAACACAACACCCTTCTGTCACTGTTTAACCACATTAAAGTGTAAGTAAAACACATCTTAACCATTTGTAAACATCCAGCAGCAGAAATGACTGCAGCATGAATTGGACATTGATTTGTTCTATACCTCTTTTCACAACCATCTGTAAGATCTCTTAACTCTTTTACATCGCCACAATGAGAACAGAAATAGTCAGTGGTTTAAAAGCACTTTATTGTTCATCAAGGCTACTTTACGTACAAAAAAGGTGGCCTGCCAAAACCTTTTAAGTAGGAGACAGAGAGCCACAAATAGTTTTCTGGATAGACTATACCTTACAGTTTGAAGTATTACTACCACTAAGTACATGATGCTACTTCCACTTCAAATCACGACCTGGAAAATGTGGTGCAGTCAAAGTGAAGTCCAACCCCTGGTTGATTCGATAAGCGTTAGAGGATTTATGGGTAATAACTTTTGCCACTTTAAATAATTAACACACTCTTTAATAGTCTGAAGGGTTTACAAGTTATTCTGTTAGCTGTCCCATCGCTAACATTGGTAGCTGTTATTACTCACTGGTCAATGCATCTTATGCAAATAGTACAAGTGATAAACTTTTGTTCGAACGTCTTCAGATTGGGCAGACCCCACTGGGGAGAATGGAAGTAGCGATTGTCACCGACACACCTGCGGCTTTTTGTGGTTTTATACATTTACTGTGTTCCTGCACTTGAATCTTAACGCGAACAAGACAAACTCTACTGACAAAAAAAAAAAGATCAACTTTTTTTCCCCCCAAAAAAATATATAAAAAGAAAATACAATGATTACAATATAAGGACAGGAAAAAAAAACAATTAAATAGCTACATGTCATTACCAAATTAATTGATCCTCAAAAATACCTACGATTTTTTCTCTGTACATTCGTTACGCACAGCGTAATGATGGTCTTATAGTTACCTATTATTTTTAAAAGGGTATTTTTTATTAAGTGATTTTCCTACAGTGTGTAGGGAGTGCATGCCGAAGCGAGAGCGCCTCCTACCTACAGGGTGGTAGTGAAATGCTAACGAGAAAGTAAATAAAAGAAGGTTAAATTCTCTGGACAAACTGCCCCCTTATCCCCTCGCGTTTTATAGCGCTGCGCCAACTACAGCAGGTCCACGTGGATCTGAGATGGGGGGGGGGGGGGGGGGCATGACTGTGTCAACAGACTTTTACATGGCAGGAAAAACTCATGACTCACTTACAAAAGCACAGCTCCTGAAGCCAACCCTAACCCCACCCCCATGACGCTGACCATTCTCGTTTCCCCATCAACAAACGATGGAATGTGTGGACTTTTTAGAGAGAACAGCTTTCATTAATGGAACTCCGTAGGATCATCGTTCACGCTCCAAAACGTCTTCAAAGCAAACAATTAAAGGCCTCACCATTTGAAATGATTCTGAACGTCAGCGACAGAATAACGAGCTGCGACTACAAGCCCAGTTCTCCCAACAACACCTTTAAAATGTCTCTGAAAATGTCACGGTACTCAATTTAGTCATTTCTGTACCATGCCATAAAAAACTGTCGGGGGTAAATATCTTCCTCTGTTGATGATGTGCACACATGAGGCCACTAGAGGAATGCTTGATTCTTCTAACAAAGTCATATTTATGTTTTTAACTGAAAGAACTGAAGTATGCTTTTATTTTAGGTCTGAACATCAAGTCAGAACACAAAAAGTCAACCAATAAAGACTAGAGCTGCAACATCAACTATAAAATAAGCTAAATATTACTTTTATTTTATAAGCAACAAAGTCTACAAACTCATTTTCTTCATGCGGTTAATTTTAGGGGATAATTTAGGAGAAAAGCAGCTCTTTAAAAAGTCTCTAAAGGTGAATGTTGGTACAAAGATTCCTGCTGACTAATCTGTGCCAATCTGTCACGCTGCAGGCTGTAGCATCCTGAACCACTGATGGATCAACATCATATGGAGAAACCGTCTATCCCACAAGCCAAGTCCACAACAAGACTATCATCAGGGATTAAACAGATTTGTGATTTTGTTCTGGGGAAGTTTGACGAAAGGCAGCTCCCATCCCTAACAGAGCCTGTCCGGAGGCCGTCCCACACACGTTTGCTATCATGTTACAATTAATGGAAAAACAAATGTAGAAAATGATCATAACAATAGGAACATGGAGTACAACTGACCCAGCAGTGAGTGTATAGTGTCTATGTCTGTTACTGGCAGCAAAAGAAGTAACAACTAACGTCTGAAGGAAAAGGTTAATAGTTAGGTTTGAAATGCGAAAACAAAACACTAATAGATACCAGCTATTAAAAACATTAACATGCATCTTTAACAGCATTAATTTACCCCTCAGAGATCCATTGAACCACAGTGAGGAGAAGAGACGGATAGTTACAACACCTGGGTTCAAGGAGAGCGACACAGTCAAAGAAATCATGTTTAATCCTCTCAACTCCGGGCGTAAAACCCCAATACGTGTTTCATTTTTCTTTAGTGATACGTAGCATTATCTTCTCCTCATCAGCAGTTTGAAACACACCAAAGACTGACCTTTAACCCCTCATGAACTCAAAGACAAACTTATGATACCAACAGAACCCAAATAAAATTTCGTCCCAGAAATGATGATTAATCAGATAAAGGTGAGATCATCTCTGATGCCGGTGTGTTCAGATCACCAAATCAGACCGAGTCCATCACTCAAGAGCACACAAACTGACTCGGGTTGAGAGTGTGTGTGTGTGAGTGACAGGTTTCTTTGGTAGCACAGTCAGATGGGTAGTGGATGTTCTTCTAAGACGTGTTTCTCACTCATCTTGTCGTTCAGAGGCCAGGCGTGTCATAAACCAGGAACGATACACAGAACTAGTTACAGAAACAAAAAGTTAATAATTAAAATATCGTCCTTCCCCTCCTTATATGTACATATAACTACAGACACTCGCTCTGCTCAGAGCTACAAACGCAGGGTTTCTGTTGTGAGACTGGAGCTGATGCTTTACTTCAGGATCCTCTTCACGCAGCGCTGGTTTACTGCCATGCAGCACCGGAGGACAGCATGGAGGGGGCCATGTCTTTATTGCTTGATTGACCCTGTGTGCGTGCACAGTGAGAGAGCAGGCTTGAAGGTTTTGGCTGTTTTTAGCAGACCAGCAGGCAGGCATTCCCTCAGGGATGCTGGTGACGGACCAAAGTGGCAGGGGCACGGATGCTGGAATTGGGAGGATTGGATGAGCTGGTGAGGGGGTGGGTGGGTAGGGGGCTATGCCTTCAAGAGACGACAGAAGGGGAGTGGTTGTGGTTGACCATGTGACTGTTGGGAGAGGCGTTTGGGCTGCTGCCGGACGACGAGGGACTGCCCTTGTTTTTGATCTGCAGCCAGGTTTCGCCCAGCGCCTTGGCAAAGTGGTCGTCCACCGAGCCGGTGATGGACACAGAGTTGGTGGCGGGGGGCTCGGGTTCCTTGTAGTTCTTCCCGAGGCTGCGACGGAAATGCTCCTCAATCACAGGGTCGCAGGCTGTGTTGGCTGGAAGGCACGGAGGGTTTAGTCACGACAAGAGAAAAACATCCCACATGTTCACTTTTACTATGGTCTGCGGGCGATTTATTACGGGTAATTTTAGGTCACTGGAAACAAACGACTTCACTTTTACTTTATTAAATCACCGTTTTAAAGTTCACTGGGGAACATAATGAGAGTGTTGTTATTTCTCAGGGATCATAAAAATAGCTGTTAGAAAATGATCAGCCCACAGAAATCATGACACTCACTTTGAGGTGCATGCTGGGACTCACGGTTGATTCTTCTGTAGTTGTTGGCGAGGTTGGAGCAGCCGTTGTGCGACACCGGACACTGGGACAGGTTGCAGTTTCGATTGTTGGCTGCAGCACACGTGATCACAGATGGACGGTTCTAAAACATGAAAAAAAGGTTTTAGTAACAACTCCACGGTGGGGAGCAGATCGATATGAGGTTTTAAGAAGAGTTGCAGCAGCCTGATTCAGGGACCACAAAGCAAAAAGCATAGCGTCTGAGAAAAATGCATTTGGGGCAAAAAGAGGATGTAGGTGCTACCTGCTGGCGTTCCACTGTGCTGACTGTGTGTGGCATTGTGACCATGGCCGCGGCGCTGCTGCGTGCCGCCTCCACCATGCTGTTTTTGGTGAGTGCCAGTGGCTGGTCCATGCTGGCTAAGGTGGCCATGTGGTGGTGATGGTGATGGTGGTGGTGGTGTGTGTGACCAAACAAGTGGTTGTTTGGGAGTCCCAACGCACTGGCAACCATCTTGCGCTCACTGGGGCTCCGGCTCCGGTCCTTAGCAACGGGGGAGCTGCGGTAGTCTCCGTTAGGTTTCCTAGGTCAAAACACAAAAAGGAGGAATGGATTTTATTCCTCTTGATGTAAGAAGGATGTTTATGACTCTGCACTTGCTTTTAGATAGAAAAAAAACTACAGCTTAAGTTTGGTTATTGTGTCCGTTTCTGTTTTTAAAAACGTGACATTATTTCTGTTTCATTCATTTATATAGCAGCAAATCACAACAAGAGTCGTATCAAGGCCCTTCACAAAGTAAACATTCCAGTTAGTTTCCTTCATACCGAGCTGATTAACTTGTTGTGTTAGACTTTACAGCAACCCCTCATACTGAGCAAGCATGTAGCGACAGTGGAGAGGAAAACTCCCCGCTAACAGGAAGAGACCTCCAGCAAAACCTGGATCAGTACGAGCAGCCGTCCGCCACGATTCACTGGGGGTTTCATTATATGTGAGGAATGTTTTTTGTGAAAACCTCTTGATGGGAGTGCTGGAGTGCAATTTAGGTAAGAAAAATGTTCAAATGTGATAAATAAATAATACAAATCTAGTTTTAACCAAAAATTCCCAAAAAAAGACCTATTAAACCTGACCTAATAGACATGGTTTAATAAGACCATCTGATACACACACACACACACACACACACACACACACACACACATGCACACATTTCTGTGCCATGGAGACAGGGGGAACACTCCTATAAATGAATCCAACATGGACGGGCTCCAGACTTATCTCTGCACAAAGCGACACACGGGCACTGAGTTCAAAGCCTGAAATGGTTTCAGCCTCATCATCTCTGCTCTCTCACTGCAGAGCTGCAGTCAATGTTCGATTCAGTCCTGTAACTTTTTCTTTTCCCCCTCAGACTTCATTAGTCACAGGGAATCTGACTAATCGCACAAGTCTGAGTTGACCATTTGGTTTTTCAGACATATTAAAACATATTAAAACAAATAATTTTCCACCACAAAGAAATCTTGCAGTTTAGTTTGCTGATTACTGGGAAAGCAAAGATAAATTAGTAAAAAGTATAAATCTAACTTATGACAAAGAGATTGTGCAGACTCACTGGAAGTTTAATAGGTAGTGACTATTTCCTGTGAGTGCATCACACGAGTTCTTTGTTTCTGCATTTTTGTGTGTGTGTGTGTGTGTGTGTGTGTGTGTGTGTGTGTGTGTGTGTGTGTGTGTGCGCGTGTGTGTGTGCGCGCACGTCTTCCTGTGCTGCTATGCTCCCTTCTGACAAACTGAGGCCCAATTACAGGGAGCAAATCTTACCGTACAACTTTTATCATTCTGACACACACACACACAAACACACACAAACACACACACACACACACACACACACACACACACACACACACACACACACACACACACACACACACACAAAGTGGAAAAGTAACTTTATTTAAATGTAAGTGATTGTTGGCAGAAAGGGAGCAGGAGACAACTTTGTTTGTGGTTTTAGTTTTTTGCTTAGTGATGAAAAAGCAGTGGAGCCCTCTGCCTTGGGGCCGGTGGTCGGCGGCGGAGGCTGGGGCGCTCCCCGGGTAATGCCCAGGCAGTGGTGGGGTCTCCGCCCTCCCTCCCTGGGCATCATGGGCCGGTGTCTTGGCTGCTGCCGTGGATCTGTTGCTGTCGAGGCAGATGGTTCCGCTGATAATGTGTCGTCCATTACCTGACCCATCTGAACTCAGCCTATTGTTCAGGGTATCTGCAGGTTTAAGGGAGCCAAATTTAAGACTTTTTAAGACCTTTTTTAAGGCCACTTTGACCAAATTTAAGCTGTTTTTTAATTTTAATTTAAGCTATAATTTCCAGCTATTGCCTGGAACCGGTGCTAAACACGTTACGAACGTGGGATTAGCGATCCAGTTACCATTAAACTTGCACTTCCCCATGGCGCAAGCTCCCACTAGCTTAACCAGCTAATGTGCTCATCTAAAAATAGCCCCCTTTCACAACCAGCTGAATGTGTACGGTTCTGCTTACGGCAACATCGTACACAAAAAAACACTGAACACCAACTAGGAATTCATGAAAATTTTATAGAAATAAAAGAATCTTGTTTAGTGGGCCTTTGGTAATTTAAGACCTTTGGAAACTGTATTTAAGGATTATTTGTAATTTTTAAGGCCTTAAATTTGGAAAAGCCAATTTAAGACTTTTTAAGACTTTTTAAGGACCCGCGGATACCCTGATTGTTTACTCTGTTGTGCACGTGTGTGTGTGTGTGTGTGTGTGAGCGTGTGTGTGTGTGTGTGTGTGTGCGTGCGAGTGTGTGTGTGCGCATGCAAGTGTGTGTGTGTGTGTGTGTGTGTGTGTGTGCGCGTGTGTGTGTGTGTGCGCGTGTGTGTGTGTGTGCGTGTGTGTTCACCTTGGAAATTGGTTGCGGGAGGGGAAGTGTAATTGTCAATTGTTTTATACTTAGGGAGGGGGGCTGGGATGGGAATATGGGATCTATGGGGCCATTTTAATCTGTGAAGCACTTTGGGTTGCTTTTTTTTTTGTAAGAAAAGTGCTATATAAATAAAGTTGATTTGATTTGATTCAGGGTTCGTTTGGATGCAAAACATCCAGAGGAGGAAAACAGTTGTAGATCCATGTGACCAGGCAACCTGACTGCTGGGTCAAGCATCTGGAGTCCAAACCGGCAGAGAGGAAGTAGTGGGAAGAGAGGAGCTGCATGTGAATGGTCCAGACCTTCGCTCAGAAAAGAAGGAGGTTTCCTTCGTTTGTGCTCAAAGCCTACATGAGCACACACACACACCCATCTTTTTTTCCTCCTTTCTTTCACTCACAATCACCAGCAAACTTCCTGATGGTTAACTGAGGGATAGTCTTGGCAGCCCTTACACAAACCGTGGCTCACAAGCTTATACCATTTATTTGGAGGTATCACTTTTCAGCTTCATTCTAGTGAAAACACCAATTGCTTTGTGGTGCTGGTCCATCAGAAGTCTCATCGTAATGTCAAAGTTAATAAATTGCTGACACTAAGAAATGCTTGTTCCTATCCAAGTTTCACTTTTATCACTAATTCTGACCTGCAAATGAACAAAAACTCAGAGATCTTTCATCCCTCCGAGCAGCAATGTTGTGGAAGTTCCAAACTTTCATCACCGCCAAAGGCCAGCGAGCCCACATCCTCATACGGGGGGAGGGGAGGTTCATTACAGCAACCAACGAACACTGTCAACAAATCCGTCCAATGAATGGTGCAGCTGTGGAATCAACCACCCTTGCTTCTGATTACCCACTAAACCACATTTCATGTCAGCGTTCAGCCTTTTAGACCCCGCCCTGTGTTTCTGTCCCTATTACTCACCTCTAGTTTTAAAACCTGGTTAGATAAAACAGCACTAGAGCTCTGGGAAAGCTAAAAGAACAAGACGATGGGTGGATGGTGCAATTAAAAATATTTTCTTGTGTTTTGAAGTACACTCTAGGAAATGAACTACTGAATTAACTTAACCAGGTTATGTTAACTGGTTCCACTAAACCAAGTTGCTTACAGAGAATGAATTATTTGTAAGTCATACTACGGGGGGAAGGGGGACGCGCCTCCAGTGCACCTGTTTCAGCAGGGACAATTACCCCAGAGGAGAAAGTAGCTTCAGACGACGGGATCTGGAGTATTATTTCCTGATATTTGGACTTCTCACCTCTTATTGCAATGTGACTCCATCACTGACTCTTTACTCTGCAACATGGATGTTTTACCTCCACTAATAACACAAGCCTGGATGAGTTCTGCTGTGTGGTGAAGTTGCTAATGCTAACAGCTAGCTTCTACTAGCAAGACGTTCTCTGCTGTTTCCTGGACGCTAAACATGAGTGAGTCAAGGAGGGTGAGTCCATGAATGTTAAGTGACAGTGTGATGTAGATCTGTCAGGATTTTCTAATCCTAGCGTTTCACTGTTTATTTTATATCAGAGGCTAATGCAGGAGAAAGGTGTAGGAGACCCATTTTGATGTTCAGCCTGCATGAAAAACTCTGAGTGATCTATTATAATCAGAAATGATCATCTAAAAAACTGTTTTTTTTTCGGTGACGTTGACCTTTAAACAACAAGGTTTAGTGGAACCAGTTGACATAACTTAGCTAAGTAAACTCAACATTTATTTCTTACCATGTACTCTCAACACAGCACTGTCCCCATATAGGTCCTGGATTATCACTGATAGGGCTGAAACGATTCCTCGAGTACCTCGAATAATTCGAGTACAAAAAATCCTCGAGTCAAATTCTCTGCCTCGAGGATTCGTTTAATTCATATTTAATTAATTCGTGGCTTTGCAGTCGCCCTTGGTCATGTTTCACCCGGACTGAAATAAGTGACGCACATGCCCACTGGACTGCACACGAGAGTAGCGAATGTAACTTAACTTTCTCTTAAGCCATGGCGGACAACGTGGACCCCGGTGGAGTGCGAAAAAGACAGAAAATGTCAAGTTGTGGAACCATTTTTCACGTCGTTAGGCGGAAAACGTAGTCCAGTATAAATACTGTAAAATGGATTAAGCCTACCACAACACCACATCCTCCGTGCTGCAGCACCTGTAAATGTCACTTCTGCATGCGGACTCGGAGCCTCTACAAGATAATGCATTTTAGCCTGTATTTCTATATATTCTGCGGACACTGTGCGACTTTTTCGTTTGTAGCACTCAGTTTCAGCTCACACCGTACGTCTGGTAGCAACACGTCGGACTTAAAATGTGCTAAAAAATAGCATTTTTACACAAAACGTCGGACTTTTTATTGTGTTATTGATGTTTGTTGTCCCTCAGGATTGCTGCAGGAGAACACGGGTATTTATGAGTGGCGGAGGAAAACGAAAGAAAGTAAATAAATGTTTTGTGACCAGTATAATTTGACAAAACCACGGCAAACATGCTTTCTCGACAATCCTTGTTATTGTGTGAGAAAAAAAGTGTTGAAATTAAAACGGACGTGTGTTAATAGGGAACAGCCGGCGAGCTGTTTGCGCATGCACCGTGAGCGGTTCTGGTTCTGTTTG